TTTTTTAAACTTTAAAAATGATTAAAATTCAGGGTTGGGCCTAGAAATGTTCATTATGCAGGGAATGATTAAGGTTAAGAAATAGTATAATACTAGAAAGTATAACTCCTCTTTCCCGGGCAATACCCCTGCGCCGCATCGCAGCGCGGAGTCCACCGGCCGGCTCAAAGGTCTGGGAATCCCAGGGCGCCCGTGAGCCGCCGGCGCCGGCCTGGGGTGGGGGGCAGAAACCGGAAGCCGGTGACACGGGGAGGCCAGGCAGACCCGGGGCCCCGGCGCCCCCTCGCCAGGGCCTGGTGATCGTGATCGACGCGCGCAGCACTTGCAGTCCCGAGAGCTCCCCAGGGGCAGCCCCAGGATGGGTGCTGGGCAGGGTGGTGCCCAGCCTGGCATGGCAGCTTCCTGCCAGGGCTGGCTCCTGGCTCCGGAGCTGAAGGCTCAGGAAATCCCATAAGGGCTTGTCTGCAAGGGCACTCCCTCGCTCAGCATAGGGGGCCGTGGATGGGAGGCCTATCACCCCCGCAGCATCAGTGAGCTCGCCCTGTTGGCTGGCACCAGGGGTGGGTGTGCCCAGCTTGACAGATGAGCCCTGGCCTCCCTGCAGGGGCGTTCAGAGGGCAACAGGCCCCTGGGGGAGGTGGGAAGCTCCTTCCTGCCATCTGAACCACATTGCCAGGGGCCAGGAGGGCAGACAGGAAGCCTCTCTGGGGACCCTCACCCACCCCAGCCAGCCCCACCTAGCCAGCCGCTTGCCCAGCCTGTTCCTTGCACTGTCACTCCTGTTCCCAGAGCCCTGCTCTCCCCAGGCCTCTCGCCTGCCCTACCCCAGAGTGGGGAGGAAGTGCCTCAGTCTGTGGGTTTTCGGGACCGGAAGCAAGCACTAGTGGGACTCAGTCCTGGGGGTGGAGGAGGTACCGACATCTCCTGGCTGCCACCCCTGCCACCCTTTCTCCAGCAAGCCTCTGTCTCGAAGCCTGGACACCCCCCTCCGGGGAGCCACTCACTGGGCTGCAGACTCGGGAAGGGGGAACTCGATGTCATGGCTTCCCAGGGTGGGGGAAGTGAAACTCAGGGGTGAGGGAGGGAGTCAGTCACTTCCTCTGCCCTCCCACAGCCCCTGACTGGCTGCTGGGGACCTGTCATCCCCCTTCTTCTCCCTTTGGCCTCGCTCCTGCCACCTTATGGCCTTTCTGGGTGGGCTTGGGGGTGGGCTCCAGCTCTGGGTCCTTTCTTCCTCAGGTATGGCGCTGACAGTGGATGTGGTCGGGCCAGCACCCTGGGGCTTCCGCATCACGGGGGGCAGGGATTTCCACACGCCCATCACGGTGACCAAGGTAAGGGCTAGTTCCAAAGAGGAGGCGGTCCCCCTACGGTCAGGCCTGTCCTGCCCACCTCACTCTGCACAGACACCTTTCTTTTTCGGCTCTGGAGCCAGAGGCCTGCTGCCGGGAGTGCCAGCTGGGCAGGCGCCGGGGCCCTGTTGCCATGGGGATGTGGTGGCCCCCTTGGGGAACAGGCCAGGCCCCAGGAGTGATAGGGAGCTGGGCCAAGGACAGGGTCTGCTCTTTTCTCCTCAATTGCTCACCCCACACCTGCTGGCAGCCACTTTGGGTGGTTTCTGGAACAAGACATCCCCCCAACCCCTCCCCCCCATCACGAGCTCTTGGCAGTTTCCTCTTGACCCAGGCCCCGGGCTGCAGTGCGTTCGCAGGAGGGCTGTGTGCAGGCAGCCACCTGCAAGTGCGATTTGCACGGGCAGGGCTCTCTATCCCAAAGTATTTCCAAGCACAGTTCCTGAAATCCTGCCACTGCACATTCTTTGGGAGGCCCCCATGAGGATGCCAGTGTGGGGCGGGCCAATGGGGGTGGGGGGATGTGGCAGCCACCTGAGCTCTTGGAGGGGACAGCCGGCCATCTGGACAGACCTTGGGGGGCAAGATGTAAGGGGGTGCAGGCCAGCCTAGTTCAAACCAGCCTCTGTGTTTCTTGGCAGAGAGAGGAACGCCTCCTCCCTGAGGGTGCCACTGCCCGAGCGTGGGCGCCTCAGATCCACCAGCTCCTCTCCCCTATAGGTGACAGCGCGGGGCAAGGCGGAGGCCGCCGACCTCCGACCCGGTGATATCATCATGGCCATCAATGGGGAGAGCGCGGAGGGCATGCTACACGCCGAGGCCCAGAGCAAGATCCGCCAGAGCCCCTCGCCCCTGCGGCTGCAGCTGGACCGGTAGAGCCGCCTCCTCTGCTGGGCCTACTGGCATTCTCTCTCCCCTCCACCAGCCACCCTCGCCCCTGCAGGGACCGGAGCTCAGCACCAATATGGCCTTCCCTGGCTCATCTACAAGGAGGGCCTGGGTTCTCTGCAGGGCAGAGGGAAACAGGGTGGACTGAGGGGTGTTCCTGGGGCCAGCTAGCTGAAGGTGGGCGCCAGGCTGGGCATGCAACCACAGGCCGGGCAGGGCGAGCTGGCACCAGCCACCTGGAAGCCCGGGTTTGACTGGTTCCCAAGAGTGTGCAGGGCACAGGGCGTGGGCATGAAGTGGGTTGAAGAGGGGAAACTTCTGGGTAAGGTGTGCCCCAGGCTGGGTCTCCGGGACCCATGCTTCCAGGTGAGTGTGGCCTTTTGTTTAGATCCCAGCTGAGCGTGAGGAGTTTGGGGGCTCATTCCTCGTAGAGCCCATGTGTTTCCTCCCTATCACAGCTCTAGGTCCTGCCAGGGAAGGGAGATTCCCGGTCCTGGCTCCAGCTCCTAAGGTTTTGAAATTGGAGGTCAGGGTGAGGCCAGGGTGGGGCCTGGAGGTCAAGGTATGGGGGAAACCGGTGGCTCCCTGGGGTGGAGCATCCAGCGAGTCACAGATCAGGAATGCTGGGAGATCTCCAGTGGGGAGAGCCCTCTACACAGCCTAGAATCTGAGTCAGGTGCCTCCTGTGTCTGGGCCACCCCCTGCTGGCCGCCTCCAGGTTCCTCCTCCCCCGCTGCCCTGCCCTGCGGTGTGACGGAAGCCAACTCCCTTCATGCCACTCTAGCCCGAGTGTTTGCAGGAGTGGGACCCAGAGGAGGAGAGTAGAGAGACCTCATGGCATCTGGGAATAGGACCAAAATCTACAGGAGGCAGTGTCTGGGCTGGGGGAGGGGCAGGAGTTGCTGACACCAGGGCCTTCCTCTCAGGTTATGGCCCCGGGGAGGTAGTTCTAGCCTCTTAACTCAGGCCTCCAGTTTGGGCAAGCCAAGGTTTCCCAGTCTTTTTGTACTTTTGCTGACCCCTCTTAGCCTGCCTAGCCCCCCAGGAGACCTCTCTGGCATTCAGAAACCCTGGGACAGGAAGCAGGGCCCTGGGCTGGAGCCAGAGCCCAGCTCCCCTCACTCTGCCGGGGAGGCTGAGATTCCCGCTGACCCACCTCTCTCAAAGTGGCCGGACGTCCAGGAATGTGGAGCGGGATGGGACTGGCTGGCTCTCTCCTCACCCTCAGCTCCTGGCCCTCCAGTGACCTTCCGTCCAGGGCTCCAGTTGGGCCCCCTTTGGAAGGGGTCCCTGGGAAGCTGGGAGCAGGATCCCCTCTCGCTGGTGGGGCATCTGGGCCTGCCTGTCTCAAGGGAAAGGGACGGGTCTCAGTTCTGGTTTAACCCGGGAGTGACCCTCTCAACGGCACTCTGACCATCAGCAGAGCTGGCCAGCGGTACAGGCCTCTAGGTGGGGAGAAAGGCTTTGGGGCTTGGGGCGACTCCCTTCTCTGGGTTTCAGCTTCTCCATTTGTCAAAACATCAAAGATGTCTTCCGTGAAATCAGCAATCATCCCCCCAATCAGTCTATAAACTGATACAGACCCGTGAGAAAGTCTCGATGAAATGGAAAAGGGAGGAATTGAAGGAACTTCTCATCAAATTGGGTTAAAACTCTCGGCTGAAATGATGTACTTTCTAATTTTTAGTGCCACTCGGTCCTTTATTTTAAGGAATCGGGGGGGTCGTTGACGATCGTTGTTTGTTTTGAATTTGGCACACTTAAAAGTTGCCGAGCTCACGTCCAAATGTTCTGGGTGTTTTGCTTGTCTTGAGAACCAGGTCTGGGAACGGCGTCGGCCCCTTGCAGGGTTGGGGGGGCTGGGACCCCCGTGACACGCTCCTCCCTCTGTGGCCTCCTCAGGTCTCGGGCTGCCTCTCACGGGCAGACTAATGGGGACAGCTCCGTGGAAGTGCTGGCGACTCGCTTCCAGGTAAGCTGGTGCCTTTTCCCGGAAGCCCCGGTACCTGGACCACCAGGGCATGAGAGTGAGGCCGAGGGCAGGGCAGGTGGGGTGTGGCAGCCCCAAATTTCCCGGTGGCCCCTCTCTCCGCAGGGCTCTGTGAGGATGCCCGCTGACAGCCATTCACCCCTGAGGTCTTCCTGCTCCAGTCTGGCCTCCCTCAGCCCCCGGCCGGGCAGCCCCTTCTCTACCCCACCCCCCACCAGCCCCCTTGCTGGAGAAGGCGTGATCAACCGCAGGTAGGCACAGCCCGTGGGCGCTCAGGCCGCCTGGGCTGCCAGCTTCGGGCTGGACTCTTCGGAGCCTCAGCAGCTACGTCTAGTGGACCTGGGGCAGGCTGGGTGGCACACACCCTGGCACACACGCTGTCCGTTTTCCCATTTCAGTTTCCAGAACCTGGCACACTCTCCAGGCCTCACCGTGGCTGACCGCCTGTCCTACGGGGGCCGCCCCGGGAGCCGACAGGTGAGGCCACCTGGGGGAAGGAGAGGCCAGAGAAACAGCAGAGCCTCCCATCCCTGCTCGTTGGCAGTGTCGCTGGGGCTCTCCATCTCCTAGGGACCGTCGCGTCCTCTCCCAGGCTGGGGAGGCCATGTTTCTGGTGATGGGCCGCCCACGCTGTGCCCAAGCCCTGCCTGGCTGTGCCCGGTGGCCCATCCACCTCCTGCCTCCTTCCGGCCACCTCCTCCCTGTTCCGACCGCCCTCCCCTCCCTCTTGTGCCTGCTGGCTTCCTCCCTTCCCAGTATGTTTCTCTTGGGCTGCGGCTGAAATAGTTTTGCTGCTGTTGTTGGGAGAATTCCCTTTCGGCTCTGGCTACATCTCTTGAACACATTCCTCTCCACTCCAAGTCCCAGGCCAGCCCCCACTCCCACCCCGGCCCCCTCTTCCCCCTCTGACTCAGCCCAGAGGTCCTCGGGGGGACTGTGGTCCTGCCTCCAACTGTTCTTGGCTCGGCCTCTGTCCACCCCCCACTTCCCTTCGTCCCCACTCCC